AAGACTGTAACTTTAACTTTAATTATTGCTTAATTTAAATATGACAATTATGTTTACCAATATTTTTCAGTAAGAGTTTTCAAAAATACTCGTTGTTTTATATGTTCAGCTGTTTCAATACCGCGATTATTGGGCACTAAAAGATTGGTTGTAGAAGTAATTTGTTCAGATGCTACGGATGCAGCTGAAGAAATCAAATATTTAGCAGCTATTTCTGATAGCACAGAAGTAAATCATAAGACGCCTAAGCGATTAAAATAACTTGAGGCTTATACCAACATCGAAGCACTTATCCCGTCGTTTTCTCTAATAGCTCACATGCGCAGACACTTAATACACATAATCGTATCACTTTGATAAAAATCCACTTCAAACGATTATTTAAACGATAAAACAGGAGCAACTATCCGTCGATGGTCAAGCTCTTGCGAAAACTCACAGTAAGTAAAGTAGTACTAAGTTTAATAGATTATAGTGATTTTAATATCACAGAGATATACTATACAAAATTACATTTCTTCTTAAGATAATAAGCAAATAAATAAACTGGGGAAAAATGAAAACATAATATAGTGTAAATAAAGTATAGTAGATTGGGTCTATTAAGGATTAGGATTTAAGTTTACGATGGTGTTGTAGATTAAATGATTTACGTGAAAAAATAAAAAATTAAATTATTTTAAAAATATATCGACTGTCGTATATCTATATTTCAATATCAAACTTATATTTCAATATATGTCGTCCAAAAATATTAAAAATAAATATCGATATTTCTAAATAATAAAATAGATTTTTCGATATATCGATATTTTATTACAGTCCTAGTTCAAACGTGGGGCATGGCCGTGGGCGTTTGGTTTGCGTGACTCCTATAAAATATAATATATATATATATAGATAAATTAAATGATATTTAATAATATCTAAATCTTATTTAATATCATTTCCTGTCTATTAATATATATCTATACAAATAAATAAAATTGAAGTATCTGTTTGTAATGTCAAAAAAAAACAGTTTTTGATTAAATGCATATGAAAGTAAATACGGTACTTCTAACAAAAACACAATTTTTAAAATCTTTATCTATCTTTCTGTCTGTCTGTCTGTCTGTCTGTTTGTTCCGGCTAATTTTCGAATCGGCTGAATCAATTTTGACGAGACGTTCAGTGGCAGTTAACTGATATTATATGGAGGAACTTAGGCCACTTTTAATTTAGAAAAAGAATTAGGGTTCCGTGCAAAAAAAATGAAAACCCATGAAATCCAATTGTAATAAATTACACGCGGGCGAAGTCGCGGGGAACAGCTAGTTAATAGATAGGAAATGATATTTTTAATTTATAGAAGTCACGCCAACTAAACGCGCACGGCTGCGGCTCCATCGATCTAGAAATTAAATCCGTTCCGTACATATGTATATATATATATAAATAACGTTTCCTATATATTAACACTTCAAAAGATATTTTTATTCATGATAAGGTCAGTATTAAGTAAAACACTTTTAAGAAATGGGTCAGATATTATAATAATTTTATTCATAATGGTAAATTTTATTTATTTAATAAATGTGTTATTTATTTTTATCTGTTTATTAAATTACCTATCTGTAAAGCGGGCGACACACTACTGATACTAACTTGCATTTCGGTTACGGTGATCCCAAAAAATCCGTGGGCATGGGCACATTCTGAAGGCCTAGCTTTCTATGTTTATCTAATTGAGCTCTCGACGCATTACATATTAAAATAAAGTGTTACATACTAATATAAAGATGAAGCACCCAAATGTCACGAATTCAAAAAAGTTAAACAAAATAAAATCCGTAAACTTTGTTTTATTAAATGTGTAGTATTCGTATAATAAATCAGCTAAAAATCATGTTGAAATTGAATTCTAGATACTGAGTACAGGTAACTTGGTCATTTATAGGAATTAGTGTTAATGGTGCTTATAGGTTTCCTTGAAGTACGCAGATATTTTCGTCTTCTGGTTGTAGTTGCTTATGCTTTTTCCGTTCTGCCTTGTTTTTTATTGCCTGAAAACATTATAAAGCGAGTAATAATACTGTTTGTACTATTTATAATATTTATATTATTTATGTAGTTACTTCTTGAGCCCTTTCAAATGATCCTAAACACGATGGTGTTTCGTAGTGGCATAACTGAGATCTTTTACCCCACTTTCTTTGTCCACCATCATGAAGGTAATATAATCACATTGAACTAATTCTTTATAACCCTTTCAAATGAGTTCAAACACGATCGTTCTACCTAGTGCCACCACTGAGATCCTATACCCACCTTCGGATTGCATCATCAGAAAGGTGAGGTCATAACAGTCACCTAGGTCTATATGAGTCCTTTCAAATGAGTTCAAACACGACCGATCTATCTAGTGCCGCCACTGAGAACCTATATCCACCTTCGGATTGCACTATCAAAAAGATGAGGTCATAACAGTCATCTAGGTCTTTATGAGCCCTTTCAAATGAGTTCTAACACGATCCTCCTATCTAGTGCCGTCACTGAGATCCTATACCCACCTTCGGATTGCACCATAAAAAAGGTGTGGTCATAACAGTCACCTAGGTCTTTATGAACCCATTCAAATGAGTTCAAACGTGGTCATTCTATCTAGTGTCGTCACTGAGATCCTATACCCACCTTCGGATTGCACCAACATAAATGTGATATCATCACAGTCATCTAGGTCTCCATTTACCTATTTGAAAATAAGTCCAAACACGATGGTTCTACGTAGTAGCATCACTGAGATCCTTTACCCACCTGCTGAGTCCACCATAAGGAAGGTGACATCATTACAATCACCTTGGTCTCCATCCTCTGTCAAACCAACTTCTCTAAATATATATGACGGCTCCGTGGTGCAGTGGCTTAGCAATGAGTTGCTGCGCTGGGGGGCGCGGGTTCGAATCCCGCACGGAACAAGTATTTGTATGGCCTACAAATAATTGTTCCGGGTCTGGATGTTTGTCCTTGTACAATTTGTGTTTGTAAACTGCCTCCACGATGCAGGAGAAAATCCTAGTGTGGGGCTAACGTTTTTTTTAATAAAAAAAAATGTATAAAATAATATAAAACTTAAACAGCATACAAATAATGTTATATAAAAATTATAAAATATAAATAAAAGCTACTAAGAAAGTATGTACTTACCAATAATGGAAACGAACTGAAGGTAGCGGATTACGGTGCACACGGAAAAATACGTGGGTTGCCGTCAGTTAAAAATTTTAGCTTAAGATTTCACATTCACGATCAGTTTTTGGATGTACGTCAGTTCACCGGAGCGTTTAACTGACAGCACGCCCGAATAAAATCCGTGTGTTGACGTCAGTTAAAAATTTCAACTTAAGATTTTACATTCACGATCAGTTTTTGGATGTACGTCAGCTAAACTGATCAGTTTAACTGACCGTGTGTGGCCACCATTACGCATGAAAGAGAGATAAGACGGCGGATTATCGAGACGAAGACTTTCAGTGTCGGCGGATTACAGTGTTTAATCAAGACCAATCTCCAGTCCAAAAAACGGCGGATTTTAGTACTTGTCGGATAATCGGGTGGCGGATTAGCGAGAGAGTACTGTACCTACTCATGTGCTTTAAACCTTAGTCCCAACTGAGCGTTACCTGGTGAGCGTAAGATTATTAGCCCTCATTGATACCTCCCTGCCCCATAAACAAACCGTGCGCCTAGCTGTGGAACGTTGTTGTTACTTTACTTTTAATTGAAGGAGAACATCTCGGTTCTTTTTTATTTTGCACTACTCAGGGTGGAAGACCCTGACAGCTGTAACATAGTTTATACTAGTATGGCAGTTTACGTTAACTTCTTTCTAATGTTACTTTGTAATTTAAAATATATATATAATACATAAATGTATTTTGTCAAAATGAGAGTTTAATAAATTATTTTTATTATTATATTATTATTATTTTTCACTTCTAACAGATTGTCGCAATTTAAAAAATCTGATAAACGGTTGACCCTGCAGGCCATCCCTGGAAATTCCCGCTTATTTTCGAGCGCAACGTTCGAAAATCTATTTAATTTTTTTTTTATTTTTTTATTCCTATAATAACACACACACACACACATGCACACACACACACACACAATCACACACACAAACACACATTCACACACGCGCGCGCGCGCGCACACACACACACACACGCACACGAACACGTCCAACCGGGAATAGTCGGAACGGCTTCCTAGGACCACAAAGACGTGGAGATCTGATAAAAACTCGCTTTTTCAAAATAGAACCGAAATCTAAGACTTCCCACTTTTGAAAATTATTAATTTACAAAGCAGTAGGTTAAAAAAAATCGTAAAATTAAATCTTCGGCGCGCATCCTAGGTCTACATCACAACGATTTTACATTTTATATTTTTTTAAATACATAATATATCCATAGAATTATTATAAAGTTTAGATTGATATAAGAGTTATTCGATCAACAGCATTTATTAAAACACATCTACAGTGAAGAAAAACTCAACCCGCCTTTTTGCATCGCCATAGTTGGATGAAAATGTAAGGGCTTATATTGACTAAACTACTAAATAACCTTCTGCTGAAAGCTTTACCCAAATTTGTCACCTTTACGTAACACTATGGAACCATCCAAATCCGCTCTTAGGTTTTTGTTATGCGCATTCAGGCAGACAGAGCAAAAATTGTGTATTGACATCTGGGGGTATCGATAGTATAGTATACCGCCATTTAAAATTCCAAGAAAACATTCAATGTAAAAAAATAGTATTTTTAGTTTTATAAATATATAAATTTTTAGCCTTCATCGGTTTACTCTATCTGTTATCTACTCTATGACTTAAAAACGTCTAACTTTACTGTGACCTTCTGAATAAAATAAAAGCAAAACTTGTTCTGAGCACTTCGTCTTCACGAATCTCCACTTCCCTGTCTGTGTGAGCAGTCGTGTTTGTAAAATAAAATTATGAAGAACATATATTGTATTAGTATTGTTTTAATCGCTATTTCTATATGCTTAGTATGGAGCGAAACTAATGTAACTCCTTCGGAACAATGCGAGGGTAAGATACCATGTTATAATTTATAATTTTAGGGACAGGTTTTGATTTCTTTGTCGGTTTTATTGCTGATTTGTAGGAGAAAAGTATTATTGCATGTTGAATAATTTAAGTAAACTTCCATTTATGCCTGGACTAAAAAAGATTAACTTTCGCTGTAGAGTTTATGTAATAAATTGTTTATCAGTAAATAAATATTAACGACTGCCTGCGTGGAATGTTTTTAGAGTTGTTTTTTTAAGTACGTAATTAATCGATGAATCTTGAAATATTTTGAAGAACAAAATAAGAATATAATCTAAGAATCATAAAAGTGTCAAAATATTAATTTATTTAGTATTTCAAAATCTTTCAATTATATCCAATTACAAAAATAGATGCGCCAGTAGGAAGAATAATGTTTGTAAGAGATACGGTAATTATTTGTGATAACATAATATATACAATTTATATTCTTTGTCTACATTCAAAAAGTCTTTTTTCGTGTTATACAATTTACTAATAGTTTATTGTCCTTTGTTGTATAAAAAGAAATATAAATATAATACTAACTATAATACTACGCTACTACTAGGTACAGGTTTAAAATATATGTATATACCTATATCAGTTGGCTCGTTGGGAAGAACTTATAAAATTCAAGCACAGACTACTGATGTCACTGATGTAGTTCGCCTGATCATTTTGAGTATAGGAGGCCTTAGGAACTTAGGATTGAGTAAGCACAACTTTTATCCATACATTTTACAGTAATCATTCTACCATTAGACCACCGATTATCGTGTGTGCGGTAGTAATCGTATTTAGTTAACTATTTCCATTATTCTTTTTAGTTTACGTCCCTCTACATTTTTGAACCAGAAGAGCGTTAATGGCATGAGAAGGTGCTGATATTTTTAACGACCCTTTTTTCAGTTAAAAAAAACGTACAGTCGAATTGTAAACCTTTTTATAGGATAGGATGACAAACGAGCACACAGTTCACCTGATGGTAAGTGGTTGCTGTGACTCATAGACATCTACTCCTCAACAAAAAATCAAAATGCATTGTCACCCGTGAGGACTAAGATGGAATGTCTCTTATCTAGTAAAAAGGATCCCCGGTTCTTTACACTCACCACACGAATTACGACAGTAGTGTTAATCGGCTATTTTACGCTGGTATTCTGTGAGAGCGTGGTCCTTCCCCGGTCGAGCCGACTCATTCGTGCTACAACTATACCAGTAATATAGCTGCAGCAAGACTCTACCACGTATAAAATGTTTTTACTTTTTATAGTATTTGACATTTTACTACTTTACTCTAAAGCTTTACGATGAATAATTATGCAATTTAATATTCAAGTGTTCAGAATGAAGTTATTCAAGTTTATTAAGCACAAACAGTTAAAAAGTTTATTCAATTAAAATGAAAATACACCTACATAATAATGTTTACGATGACGTCCTAGGCCCAACCCAATAAGGCGCTATTTTTGTTTGGCTAAGAGCTGATTTTATAATCAACAGTTGAAAGTTATTTCTAGAATAAAATACAAAATTAAATCAATTAAATACTACAGTTGTATGAATAAAAAATAGTTCAATTATTTGACTTTTGTATTCAGTCAGGTTTTTATATTTCGTTAATGGAAATAACTTTTATCTGATGATTGAAAAATCAGCACTAAGACATTTATTATGTATTTAAATTAAATTAATACAATCTGCTTGTGAATTAGGTTTTGACACATATAAAAAAACTAAATCCAAAAACATGTTTCATAATATATTAATACAGAAAGTTGATTTAAAACCCTACATATATTTATTTTATACATATATTTACGTTTTCAAATGTTACTGACTCATACATTCTGGCGGCAGAATGAGAGAGTAAGTAGCATTTGAAAACTTAAACCTAAATTAATCGCCACATGAGAAGAAAACTTCGTAACAATAAAGACAATGTACCTCTATTATTATAATAGGATGTAACTTTATCCCCATCATCATAATAGTCACAGGTTCACTGTTCAACATATTCCTTCTCCAACGAATGCCACCAAACACGATTCTTAGTCAACAGCATTCAACGAGTTAGCAACGGCAGTTTTTATTTTTATTTTACAGAAAGATACATGCTACTGTCCAACTCCTGGGTCAAGAAAATGATCCATCTGTTGTTTTATACAACACCCATGATGAATTCTCTTGCGCTTCGCCCACCACACGGCAAAATACTAATATACTATAATATTTCAAAATAGTAATATACTGTAATATTTATCTACCGTCACTATTAAATCATTATAACATACCTATATATTTTATCGACACAACACCTGAATGTCAGTGATGATTACAGCTAAGTAGTTGTTATGAATACAAAAGCTCAATAGAAACTGATTGAGTGAATCCGCCGGAGAATAGCATTGGACGCAATGTCCCGTCGATCTTTCGAATATAATGCATAAACTGCAATACCTATGGCGGCATACAATTTAGCTGTGCTTGCGCGTACCTTGTTCTTCTATAATGTGTCGTGCAACTGCGTATGTTGTTGTATTATTGTTCTCATATAAATAGTAGATACTTCGAATCGTCCTTGGTTACCGGTCTTGTTTTTATTTTTTTATTTTATGGACGAGACGACGACGACGAGTCGGTACTATAAACACACTGTAATGAACTGGTGGTTACGATATAACATTCCTACATGGAATTTAAGGAATATATGTATAATGAAATAATTTGAATTTGGTGTTTATTATACTTATAGGGCAAACTAAAAGAACGATAAAATTCGCGCATAGAAACAATGAAACTTAAAAATAAAAATAAAAATATTTGAAACAGACGCTCTAGAATTTGTAGCTCTCCGTCAAGTTTCGTTACATCAAATTCCGTGGACCACGCATTCCTTATAAACAAATAAGTATTGCGTACGTAAATCTTTGTACACATATGTACGTCACTGTGGAATTATACTTACAAGTGTAAGGAGCAAGCTGATGAGTCTCAGTACAGGTATGATGTTCTGTGGCTGTAAGGTACTTATAGTTAATGATTATGCATTTACAGTGATATATTTTATTATATTAATACTTTCAAACATTATGTTATATGTAAATTTATCAAAACTAAGATACTAATAATTATGGGTTTATATAATAGTAATTATATAATTGTCAGCATAGCCACAGTCGGATAAAATTTAAGATATAAATAATAATTATCAACATTTATTACCCAAAAAAACATTACCATTTTTATATAGAGAGACAATTGCATAATCAGTTGACGTAAAACAAGCGTTATGTAATGTGTTCGGACACTTGAGTTTTAACTTACGGCTCTGGGAGCGTATGGGGTCAAAATTTCTTATCCAAATGTCAACTTAACCTGCACACGGTGTACCCTGCTAATCTTCGGACGTGGCTATATCGTCCGACAAAATGGCGAAATATCCATTCGACACGTGAAATTCACTCACACAACACTACTAGTGCAAAGATGTAGCACAACTCTGCCAACTCGCCTGTCCCATGTGAACATTGCAAGGAGTTATCTACGCTATATTTTATCCGAAAAACTTGGGAGTATTTTTTGTTGAATTCAATAAATCGATAAAATAAATGAATGATCCGTAATGGTTATTTTAAAAAATGTAAATGACGCCACATTAATAGATTCCACCCAGGTGACACTGGGGCGGGTCGCTGGTAAATATTAAATCAAAGCCACGCGCATTTAAAGCTTCGTTTAGCTTCAAAAGCATATTTATCAAAAATAATAATCGATTAACCTCAACATCGTCGACATCATAATATTTCTCATATTATAGCGTTCGAATAATCGGAAGCTGTCAACTTTGCAAGAGATGGTGCAAACACAGAGGCACTCACTCGAACTAATGATAAGGTCGGGAGCATATTAAAATACGATCTCAGAGACAAGGGAACTATGTCAAAGTAACCCAATGATTGGATTTAGTTGCGATTGAAACCAAAGACCCCGCGGCATAGTAGCTAGGTATTCCGGTTACTATCACAATCGCGTAGCCTACGGATATCATATATGAAGGATATAGGATAGGTTCGTTTTCCTAGGAAGCTCCTAGCCAAATCATGTGTAAAATGATATTATAATTATAAAACGTAGCGTTTAGTCCATTAAATAGGTGATTGAGCATAGAGAAATATGAACCATCCGATGGAAACTTGATGACAGCTTATAATATGTTCTAGTTTTATTAACTATTTTGGGAAAAAATACGTAGTCCTAATACGGGGCTACAATTCTGTAAAATACAGATGCCATAACCTCAAATTTTAACAGGATATGATTATTCCAAAAGAGAACAATACCGCTCAGAAACAAATAAAGAAAGTTAAAAACGCCTAGATGCAAATTAAATTAAAAGGAAACTGTGACAATGAATCTGGTTTGACTAGAGTAGATATTAAATCTTCTAAATTAAATTTATGTCAATGGAAGTGGATGTGGATTCTTTGAAAATTAGGTTGAAGTACTCTTGCAGTAGCAACGACACCCTTGCATTGTAAAAATATATACATAATTGTAACTATATAAAATATAGTATAGTAGCAAGCTTCTTTATTCTTCGACTGTACTAACTGGCATGCTTAAGAAGCCAGGACTTCGTTCGTTATTACCAACGTGCACCGTTTGCAGGAGTGGTTCACATTATAAGTTATAACGGAAGTAGCGCATGACGGCAATACTTGCAGGTTGGCTGGTACGGAATATTTATTTATGATTTTCAATTCACACTTGCTCTTTTTCAAGAAAAAAAAACCAGTTAAAACAGGAAAATACTAAATTGCAAACCAAAAGGTCAGTAACAAAAACCAGTTCTCCTTATTTCTGTATTGGCTAGCTCACTACAAAGTAATTAATTTCAAAATATATATTCTTGGAACTGCATAACATGACAAAATTTATGGCTATGTTTAAAAATGTTTCATTACACTAAACACTAAAAACAGCAAATATTCACGAGAGTTCCAAAAAATCAGTTGGTTATTCATGCAAGGAAAATAGTTTTTTGTGTTATACTAACAAAATATTGTTTAAAAAGGAATTATACTCATATAATAGAGAATAATGTTTTGCTCATGTCCATTTTATGAACACTTAACACGATAAAATACTTGGCCAATACCCAAAACAGGTAGATATTTAATTATTTTAGTGACTAATTTAAATAATTAGAATTGAGGAAATATGCAATTTAACTGAATAGACATACAATATTACCTACTTCATAAGGTTTTATAAGGTTTTTTGTTATGCTAAAGTCAAAATTAATTATACTTTTTTTTTGTAAATAATGATTTTTTTTTTGTTTTTTTACATTCTTCCCTAAACGTCATTCTCTTTTGGATGAAATCATATTTCATCCAAAAGAGAATGACCTACGTTTTCTTACATTTATAAAATCTGCTTTTATTTTTCTTTCAATTAAGTATAAACACTTTAGTTAGAGTCTTTTTGGAGTGCATGCAGTCTCTATTGTCTGTGATGTTAGTGCTGTCAGCCAGTTGGCTAATGCACTCCCGTCGGACTCACGCCCTTTTAGACCGCGAGTTCGTATCGAACTGCAAAATGAGTTAAGACAGGGTGAAGTTATAACCCCGAAACTCTTCACCGATGCGTTGGAAGACGTTTTCAAGCTACTGGACTGGAAAGGATACGATATCAACATCAGAGGCGAGTACATCACTCACCTTCGATTTGCTGACGATATGGTCATTACGGCCGAATCGCTGAAGAACCCCAGTATTTTGCTCAATTTCAATGGCCTCATTAGTGTCTAATATGACAAGACAAAGGCCATGTCACAGTTATGTCACATTGTTAAGTGCACTATACAGTTTATTGGGGCAGTATTCAGTAGATTGCGCTAAATCTTCTCGTCGCATATACTTCAAAGTTTAAAAACAAGAGTATACAGCTAGTGCGTGTTGCGAGTGATGTGATGAGTTAAAGACCACATCTCAGATCCATATGTAGCATTTTAATCGTGATCTTTCACTGCTAGCCGGATGAGGAAGCTCAAGGTCGCTAAGCGACCTATGGAGAGGGCTATGCTCGGAGATTCTATGCGTGATAAACTTCATAACGAGGATGTTTTATACGTGGCAAAGCCACGCTGCAGCTATATTAGTACTATAGTTGTAGCACGAATGGGTCGGCTCGACCAGGGAAGGACCACACTCTCACAGAATACCAGCGTAAATTGGCAGCTTAACACTGCTGTGTTTCGTATGGTGAGTGTAGAGAACCGGAGACACATTTTACTGGAAAAGACGCATTCCATCTTAGTCCTCACGGGTGACGACGTATGTACATTTTGATTCTTTATTGAGGATAAATGTAGATGTCTATGGGTCACAGCAACCACTTACTATCAGATGGACTGTGTGCTCGTTTGTCACTCTATCCTATAAAAAAAAAATGCGCATTGCGCAACAGATCAGTAAACTGAAGTGGCAATGGGTGGGCCATGTATCTCGAAGAACCGACAACCAATAGGAAAGACGGGCTTTCGAGTGACAGCCTCGTACCGGTATGCAAAGTGTAGGGCGGTCCCCACACTAGATTGAATGACAAACTGGTAAGAGATACAGGTGGTCTATGGATGCAGGTGAGTCAGGACCGTACTTCGTGGTGTTTCTTAGAGGAGGCGTACGTTCAGCTGTGGACTTCTGATGTGCTCTAATGATAATGATGATGAACTCATACAATTACTATTAATGTGTTTCCTATAGTACCTAAATGAAAAGACCCTTTTTTACTGATAAAGTCATTAGATCTTAGTCTCTAGGGATGACAGTGCATCTGCATTTGCTTCTTTACATTAGTGGGCTACAGCTACAGCACCCACTCACCATCAGGTAGACTGTTCTGAGCCTGACAACGCTTCTGCATTTTGATTCTTAATCAAGGATAAATGTGGGTGTATATTGGCTAGTACATTCACCTACCATCGGGTAGACTGTGTGCTCTTTTGTCACCTTTGAAAAGTAAAACAATACAACAAAAAATTATTACCATATTTCCAGGTCAGAATTTTGAGGGGCTGCGTGAGAGAATTCAAGTAAAACCATGTTCAAAGAAGGGTTGCAAGCTTCGAAAAGGCACCAATACTACAGTCATATTCAAATTCAAGCCCGGTACGTATTATATTGACAACTTTTTGATAAATTACCTCTATGAGATAATCTATGCTTCATTCTCTATACCTATGTTCGGCAGTAGACTTTTGGTAGGCTATAATAAATGATGATGAATGAAATATATTATGTATAACTAGCTGTTACCCGCGACTTTGTCGGCGTGGAATTTGGATTTCATGCTTCTAATTTTTTTGTGCGGAACCCTAAATATTTTTCTAAAATAAAAGCAGCTTAAGTTACTTCTTATAACATCAGCATTCAGCATTGACCGGACTTTCACTGACAATCTGTCAGTGAGTCCGGTCAGAATCGGTCCAGCCGTTTCGAAAATTAGCCGGAAAAAACAGACAGACATAAATATATATTTTTATAAGCATTTAGTAAAAGACTTATTTTTAAATTACAAACAGACGCTTTAATTTTATTTATTTGTATAGATATACTAATTTTAATGAATTTAAATAAATAAAATGCCTAATAATTGTGATAAACAAAGCTATTTGTGGGCAGTTCATTTTACGAGCCTTACTCGTAGCCTTACGCAACTACCTATGGTCTCTGTTTGAAATTACATGTTGTGCCTATTTCCTGCAGTAGCCAATGTGTTTATTGATGTTTTTTTTTATTTGAAAGCTGGTGCTTCACATGTAGTCCAATATAAATTTGATCAAGGTCTGATCAATAGTTTTTGAGTTATTTTTAATAATTTAGATTGAAGTTGGTTGTACAAAATTTTTAATTTAAAATTATTACGCGATAGTTTAGACGTAGTTTCATTTTATTTATTTTTTTATTAGTATCTTATTATTTCTGCTTATAACGAGGCTGACGAAGTTAAACCAACACAGAATTGCTATTCTTATTCTGTGGATATTTCCTTTTTTATAACTTCACTTCTTTTAAGTCTCTTCAGGCCATATTAAACTCCTTGTTCTTAAGTCATCGGAAAATCCTGTCGGACAGAGATACGGATTTTTATGTGATATGAGTCCCGTTATGTACTTATTGTTTGTTCTTATAGTTTCAGCTTTGACTTATTATTTATAAAATTATGAGAAAATATTAATTAAAACAAGTCCCTGACGCTTTAATTTATATGCTTTCAAATACATTATATACTGGGTTATTTTTCAAAGAGTAGCCAAATTCTAAACTTAATATTATTATTGTAGTTTTTGAAAATACGCTTATCCAAAAAATGATCCCAAATTGTATGTGATTTATGGGCAACAACGTTTTTGCCTACCGATCGACACTTACCCCGGTTAATCACAAACATTCCTACATTGTACGAATGTTTGCACGCATGTGAAAGGCCGTCAGATATTCATTCGCAAACTTAGCGGATATGCAAATGGATTCGCAGACTCAATTTGCGAACCCGTTTGCACTTCCTCCTACACTTGTTTATGGGATTTCTTTTGGTCGATTAATTCTGCAGGAGTTCAATGAACTTAATCACCTTGGTGTTTTTTAAAATCTATGATGAAGTTAGTTTTCGAATCAATGATGAGTTTAGTTTTACGTGAAGGATTGAGTTTCGCGCGCTTTGATGTCCTTTAAAAAACCGACACAGCTTGGACTGGTGTTACGAATGTGTGCGTGCGGAGTAAAATCAGTTAAAATAATGCATTACCACCATCGATCACTAATCGATAAAAAGTACACTGAGACGTTTTTAAATTAATTTTTCTTCACCATTTGCCTATATTACTTTTTCTGAACCTTCTCTGCAAATTTGGCCGGTTATTGCAAAATAACCTTATAAGTATGTGCCATGTCTGTATTTCCGCCGCCTTTTTAGGTATAACATTATATTTATCGTCAATAACGGATCATAAACAAAGTGCAATTCTTTATTCTTACCTATACGAATTAAGAATTCTTACAAGAAATAAAATACAGCTTATTTACCTTCCTCGTTAAAAAAAAAAACTTATAATTGCTAACGTAATTTTGCTCACGTACATTATTTATGAACAACATAAAACGTAGTTATTCATATAAGTGACTTCATAATATATTATCTCAGAACTCAGAACGGATGATGACTAACTACTAGTACTTGTTCCAACGCAGGATGGCTTTAATGTGATTGCGACGATTGTCAGGCAGATTTAGGAATAAATTATACGAACGACATTAACGATAACGATATTTTATGCATACGACGATACTTTTCGTAGCTATACCACAGATTACTTAATAGTTCACTAAAGCTATACCACAGATTACTTAACTATACTGAGGCTCGGTACGCTGTCTGGGGATACAACATATTAATAAGATATATAAGAGGCGCCAGAGGGAAAGTGAATCAGGAAATGGGCAGCAGAATCTTCTTGATAACAGCTCAATATAATAAAAGTGTGCGGTTGCCAAGCGTGGAAACTATGGCGAAACCCAGACGTAATTTATAGGGAATCTGAGGAATTGTTCGGACTAATTCCAGCCGCTCAATTTCACCATCGCACATCGCGACAAAACTTGCGATACCATCCATACCACCTGGATGATTGGCGGTCCACCACTGTGCGATTTAGAAGATGTTTTCTTCCTCGCACAACTTCCTCGTGGAATCGATTACCACCAGCGATTTTTCCGGACCGATACGACCTACGAGCCTACTCCTTTTTAAAAGGCCGGCAACGCATCTGCAATTTCCCTGGTGTTGCGATTGTTCATGGGGGGCGGTAGTCACTTACCATCAGGTGAGCCGCATGCTCGTTTGCCCCCTATAAAAAAAGGGAAGGCTTACATTCAGCATTGGACTATTATAAGCTTGATAAAAGAATTAGTAAATTTATAGACTTAAAAATAATAGTTTTTTGTTTGTTAACCTAAGACTAAGAGACACAGCACACTGCAGACTTTCTGTTGGGCGAGAGTTCACTCAGGTTGGGTTGCTAGTAACAATCGAGTTAGTGGTGAGTGCGCACACTAGCCAACAGTTGGCCGATAGTTTGCGAAAAAATTGTAGTTAGTAAGCAGCTCTTGAAGAGAGTCTTTGCGTAATGAAACCTAAAATATTGTACAGAAATGTTATTGTTATAACGAAGGAGTCGGAGTACGGAAGGTATTTGAAAGGGACGAAGAGAGAACGAAGTGTGAAATATGGGTAAATCAGGAATGTCTAGAACAGGTAAATGAAATTGTATACTTGGGGAGTGCTTTTAGCCGGGATGGAAGATGTGATTTAGATGTGGACAGGCGTGTCGCTGCCGGGAACAAAGTCAATGGTGCCCTGACTGCGTTAGTCAAAAGGCAAGGCGTAGTGAAGAGTGCACGCCTTGCAATACATAACGCAGTGTTGGTACCGACTTTGTTATATGGCAGCGAAACCTGGGTATGCCAGAAGAAGCATAAAAACAAGTTGAATGCAGTGGAGATGCGATCTCTTCGTAAAATGTGCGGCGTTACCATGGCCGACCGAAAGCGAAACGAAGAGATTCGCAATATGGCAGGTTTGAAAGATGACCTTATCACAAAAATTGATAAGGGCGTGCTTCGGTGGTTTGGACACGTTGAGCGAATGAGCGAAGACCGAATGGTGAAGAAAATATATAGCGCGAAAGTTAATATTAAAAGGTGTCGAGGTAGACCGAGACTAACTTTCGAAGACCATGTGAGCAAATTGCTCGAAGAGGGTAAGGTCAAGAGTACTCGGATACCTAGACGTGCATGTATGAAGAAGATAATGAATCTGAAAGATGCGAAAGAGGTTTGTAAGGATCGTGATACTTGGCGATCTGTTCTCTCTGGCTACCCCGTCAGGGATTGTGCGTGAAGATAAGTAAGTAAGTAAGAAGGAGTCGGATCAAGAATAGGAACCAAGAATACTGAGTGCATCCTATATACAGTGACAGATTATTTCTTCCCACAGCTTTTTCTTTAAATTTACATCATAGTACTGTTTTAGCTGTTTATTATAAAGCGCGGGTCGTTTTTCAAATTCATCTATCAACTGTAAAATAGATGATTCGACAAACAGCGCCATTTTGATGCATGCAATTTTAAGCGAAGTGACATTATCGACCGAGTCGGCCGACTAAACAATCGGCGCGTATGCGCGCGGCGAAGAGCTCCATACTGATTTTATCAGTTGGCCGATAGTTGACCAACAGTTTAGTTTGAAGGGAATCGTGTAGCCCATCAAACTGATTTATTTTTTTTTTTTATAGGAGAGGGGGCAAACGAGCATGCGGCTCACCTGATGAATAGAATAGAATAGAATAGAATGATTTTTATTCAATATGGATTATTACATAATACTTATTGAAAGTCATTATTTTATTTACCACTGGTTCGGAAAATACCTCTGTCCTGGGAAGAACCAGCAAGAAACCCAGCGGGACTTTTTTTTTAAACATAATTTCACTTAACAATAATTTTTTTTATACAATTTTAAATGAATTTTCATAGAACCAGCATGGTGGCGATCACCTCACTCCCAGGGGTTACTTTCACTCATGTATTCCTTGATATTATAATAACCCTTTTTGTATAGTTTTTCTTTAATAAAACTTTTAAACTTGTTTATTGACAAACTTTGAACATGTTCTGGGATTCTGTTGTAAAAGCGTATACATTGCCCCATAAATGAATTACTAATTCTGTGGAGTCTTGTAAGTGGCATTACAAGCTTATGTTTGTTCCTAGTGTTTAAGGTATGAACATCCTTATTCTTATTAAAGCTATTTATGTTTTTATGTACATACATTACATTTTCATAAATATATTGCGATGCCAAAGTTAATATGTTTATTTCTTTAAATTTTTCTCTAAGGGACTCTTTACAATTTAGATTATAAATCGCCCGTACGGCTCTCTTTTGCAAAACAAATATAGCTTCAATATCAATCGCATTACCCCATAGCAAAATTCCATAAGACATTACGCTATGAAAGTAACTAAAATACACTAACCTAGCTGTCTCAACATCTGTGAGACTTCTAATCTTTCTTACAGCATATGCTGCAGAACTAAGTCTGCTTGCT